TAACCAATTTGATTCAAATAGTTGAATTGCTTAGTCATCACTTATATTATGGTTTTATATTATTTAAAGTATTGGACATATATCTAACTAGTAGCATTTATTAGTGAAAAATTAACTTGAATATAAGACTTAATAAGAGAGAATGGGCGTTAACACCCCAAATATATGACTTAATGTGAGAGATTGGAACGAGGTGAAAACTAATAATTCAAATCACATTTTTTGCCCTTACAATTAAAAAGGGACTAAATTGAAATTACATTTTTGACAATTTTGATATTTCCATATGTATAAAAATCATTCTTATTTATCACACTTGTTTTTGTTTAATATGCTGAATATACAACATTAGAGATGTGCCCAAATGTTTTTATTGCAAAACTTATGTATTTTTCATTTTATCTTTTCTTAATTTTTATTATTTAATTATGATATCGAATATTGATACATTTGACCTAAAAGTTGAACTATTGACTCCAACCAAATAGGAAATCAATGTCATTTTTTGGTTGGTTTCAAAATAGGTATTTCATTTCCATTATCAATAAAAAGAATTATTCTTTACGACTATTTAATATGACATCATGAATTCACCCAATTGACTACTCACAATTAAAGAGGGACACAATTCAAATATAGGGGAAGTTTAGTAAAAAAGTTCTACACCCTTATTATTGTTTAATATGTCAAATATATGATGCTAAAAATGTTTACAAAATTTTATTTAATTTTTACATTTCTTTTTGCATTTTATCTATTTTTCACTTTTTATTGTTTAATTGTGACAACATGAATTGACGTATTTGATCCAAAATGGTTTAATTTTTACTATCACCTAAATAGAAACACTATTTTTTCATGTAGATTTTAAAAATATAAATTCTCATGTTATTGAAATTATTAATTTATTATGTATGGATTTAATCAGTAGAACTTAATGATGAAAATAAATTAATGCTTTAAATATATGATTTAACGCGGATAAATGGAATTTAACGAGAAAACATTAAATGCATGTAATCAACTTACATTTTTTACGCTCCCAGCAAGTAACCAGATTTCAAAAAAAAAAAAATATTTTAGTCAATAAAAATTTCAGAACTTTTACAAACTATTCTTACTTTTTATAATAATAAATATAATATACAATAAGATTCTGTGCGTGAACAAGTGTTTGGGACGGGACCGGGCCACTGCTACTGCACGCATGGCCCTCATAGTGTACAGTGACTTATGTGGCGTAGAATGTGAGATGTTTGAATGGTCAATCGTCAAGGGGGAATGTATACATGTTTGTATGACATGCTCACATGCCTTGACATGATTTGTGACCTGGCCATGTTACGTACGAGCTGTGATTGGTGGACATACATGTGACGCGGTTTCGGTTAACTTTCCATACATCCCACCAACTTTCCTCTAGGCAATCATGATGTTCACCACATACATCATCATTCATGCATGTATCTCTTCTCTGCACCTCGTGACATGCGATATGTTAGCCTCTTTCTATTTCAATTTTACAGCACTTTCAGCCATGCATTAAGAATATATTTCGTATTTGATGTTGTTATTTATTGGAACATTGGAAGATGTTTTCAGTGCATAATTGTGGAGGTACTCTTAAGGATACGACTCCCGGCAACACGTTGCGTCGCAACCACATGCAGCAGCGCATCTAGCGGCATGCACCGCCCGGCAGCGTGCTATGGCACTGGCGGCATGCACCACTCGGCAGCGCGCCGCCGTACAGTCTGCCAGTCGCCCGGCAGCAGAATGAACCTCACGGCAACAATACTCGGCAGTAGAACGCACCACACGACAGTAGTACGCACCTCACAGCAGCAACAAGGTAGACTGCGCGCGCCAACGTAGAGTGGGGCCCACACACCAGCTGTACCTTTCCCTTGTCCCCTATTTTTGTGTTTCCCTTAGAAGTAGGAGTTTGAGTTTCGATAGAAGTTTAAGTTGCGATAAGAGAGAGACTACCTTAGCCAAATACAAGAAGGAAACTCTCCTGTAATTTCCTATTTAATGAGCTGATTTATTCAATAAAGGCATCGAATTTTCAGTCAAGAAAAGAACAATGAGAGTTTAGGTGATCTCTTGAACAAATCACCCCTCAGTCCGCCATCTTAGGATCAACTCGCAAAGGTCTTATCTATTCATGGGGGGCAAGATCAGAGTTTTAAAGCAAAGAAAAGAAAGACACATTTCCTTCTTTCTAAACAGTAATTCAGTGAGAGGCACATCCAAATCCGAAACCAAAGCATGAAGAAAGAATGGGTGATGATGATTCATACTCGGAAGGACAAACATGAAAGAACCCACACATGAAACAGAAAACAGCAAATTTCAGAAAATGCACAAACAGTGGGAAACAAGGAAAAAAAGAGAGACCATGGATCCATGAGAATATGAATTCCACTGAAAGACGCATCCCACAGAATCTCTGAGGTCCTTCCCTGCAATTCTTTTGTACGTTGAGGAATTGGGAGTGGTCCGTAGGGGTATTGAGTTGAGTTGGGTTAGGGCCAACCCGAACCCACCACCTTAGAATCTCTACAATGAAGGTTGCTACCCACCAGACCTAACCAATACTAGCCAGCCTGATTCAAGGTCTGGATAAAATCAGTTTGGCTCATTCAAGCACGGGTTGACCCCTTCCCAAGTTGCACCACTACCCAAGTCTTTTCCTTTGATACATCCCATCAATGTTTCTCACCCCTAATTACTTCGGGGCCATTATTTGGTATAATGATAAAATCTTAGGCTGGCAAGCATGAGAACATGGGTTGAAGCCCGATAACGACCACTTTACAAAAGAAAAAAAAAATTGTTAAAAATTAAGACCGTATCTAGTCTACCCCTACTAAGACCCAGATAGCTAGGACCAACGTTGAATAATGGTGTTTGTTGACTAAGTCTCTTCTTCTATTTCATTGTCAAGCTCAATAAAAACCAGCTCTTCCAATCAATGATAAAAGAATAGATCGAAGCTCCACTTCTGTTCCACTGTGTGATATTATCCTAGAGAAAACCATGCAACAATAGATCAGCAAAGCTTACCAGAAGCCACTATTTGTAACATGAGACCGAGAGAAGGGGGCCCTCAACCAAGCCTAGTCTCCATTGAATCATTTTTCCTTTCTGGTATCCGGCAATTGAGATCTCATAGGATTTTACAGTAAGAAGAGAGGGAGCAAATTACCCAAACAGAGATGGTGTTGGTCATAGTCAGTCTCACCTTTAGACAAAATATGATCCTTACTGTCCTATACACCTATCCTTTGTGTATCATCCGTCGATATGACATTTGTAGATGGGCTGGTGTTATATTCATCCAAATTTTATCTATTTCCATTCTTCTATGATCAACAAAATGACCCTACCTTGCATGTGTGCCACGTGGGACAGCCCACCACTCTCACAGAATGGGGACCACAGTCCACTGACCCTTCACAATGGACTGTGGAAGAATACAGCGTGGCCCATTGGGCCTTTACAATTGGATTGTAAACTGTATGTGTGGATTCCAATCCAACAGTAGAGGGGGTCGGGCCATAGACGGATTACTACAAACACTGTTCCATTCTATCACGTCCCAAATCGAAATCTTTGGTTGGGAATTTTGAGGTAGATGTATCATGATCAATTAGGAGGGACAACGTACAAGCAATAAATTGAACGTACTAATATGTCAACCACAATTGCTTTACGCATTAAGCTTAATCTGTCTCACTTGTGACAGAGTGAATATGCAGCCGTGTGTCACTCAGTTAATTTACTCATCCTATCTGCAAAATATTAAAAACTTTAATAAAATAAATAATTTTTTGATTGATTTAAAATAAATATTTTGTCCACCTCCCTTCCCTATAGGACTAATTTGGTAAGAGTATGAATACAATTTTGTACAGTGTAAATATATATAAAATATAAAATTTGCGCTCTATATATTTGTATTTGTACTCCTTTCAAATCGAGTAGTTTGTAATAAGATGCAAAAATACTCTATAAAAAAAAAAAAACAAGACCAGGCTAATTGTTTGAAATTTTAAACAATGATGATAAAGGCTGATTAGTTTTTATGCAAGTTATTTATTCGGAAAAGAGAAACCCCTCAAAATACTTCTCTTGCCCACAAGATTAATTAAAATATAAAAATATGGAAATGTAATGCATTTGAAATGGACAAAAAAAGAACATATGCATTTAGACAGAAATTTCAAAAAGTGGATCATAATTGCTAGGGTACATCTGCAGTTTGAAATTTCATATTCTCCTTTTATAAGCTATAAATTGGCCCACAGTATTCAGAACTGGAGACCGGCCACAAAAAACTTTGTCGAAAATCGCAAATAGTACGTACAACATGCCAGGAAAGATAGTTGAAATCATCAGAAGGTTGATAAAGATATATATACGAGAATGCAATAGAAATAGAGTATGTTCCCCCAAACAGTGCTCAAGACATTATCTTATTTATGGAAGCTCTCTAAGGCATTCTCTTGTGTATGTGCTTCCTATATGCAATTTGAACAATTTTGATTTCACCAATTTCTTAAATCAAACTGATTCAAACTTGACGGATCCAGGTTGACAATTACTGGGGTTTGATTTTTGAAATCGGCATGAAACCCAAGGGATCTCGATTTCAGAATGTTGCCCCAATTCAGGAAAAATGATTTCATTTTCACTCTCAATGGATCCCAGTCACTCTATTTTGCTGACCCCATGCTTATGTAACGCATGGGACCCACTTGAAAATCGCTTGAACCAATATCAATTGTGGGCCAGTTTCTTGGGAATTCCACCCCAAAACGCGATTCATGTTGATGAGCACCATGCAGGAGATTAGGACTAATTGAATACACTCTCCTACCACAAAATGATGGGTGAATGTCCAATCAGTTCCTCTATTTACTCCTATTGCTTTGTCTCTTGGTCAATAGACTAATCAAATACTACAACTTCAGCCATTAGAGATCTCACAAATCTCCTCAAAAACTTCTTCACTAACAGACAAAAAAGTTTCTCAATTCACCCAGTTATCACCCGACGGTGTTTAGGGTATGTCTGTGAATTATTACAACTAAATTCTATTCGAATGATTCATCTATTAAGTTTTACAATTGTTCATATGAAAAACCTATTATATGAGAGACTAGTGACTGCTTTCATCCAAAGAAACAAAAAAACAACAAAATATTCGGAGAGATGTGCATACCTGTGTTGTATCATTGCACGAGTGACTGTAATTTTATTTCTGACAAGCTAATCTGCAGTAAAAGTAAAAGGTAGCCATGAGTCCATACCAAAGCAAACTAATGACAAGATATTAGTACTAATTAACAAACAACTGGGTAGAATTATTTTAGTCCTCAATCAACTTCATGTATTCTCTCTGTGTATATATATATATATATATATATATATATCATTGGGACAGTAAAGCAAGCTGCATCTTTACTGCTTTGAAGCATATTCATCTGTGTTCCCATGACCTCATAAAAGCAGAAAAAGAGCTTCGTCCTTCCATTCATTTGTCAAATGACACAACAGCTTTTGTCTCTAACTCTCCCACATGACATGGCTTGAGATTCTTCATCAGCCTCTTGGCCCATAAAGGAAATAACTTTATTTTGCGACCATGCCCCATCTGGTTCCTCTAAAAGACATTCTAGAGGCCAGCTTTTTGTAAGGATTAGGATCTACAGCCATGACCATCGGGCCGGTCCTGCTTAAGTTTGGTCACAGACCAAGAACAGCTTACAGAGATTGGTCCTTCAACCCAATAATATCTTTTCTCAAAGGATATTGGCTGGAATAACTGGGTTTAAGCAGATTGTTCTTTTCAGCTGTAGCTCAGTTATAGCCATGACTTTCCTTGTTTTATTCTTTCTTGTAGCTACATGTGAAAGATTCTGTTATGCTTAATCTTTAGAATCACATATACAATCTACAAGTTTATGTTAATATTTAGATAAACCAGTGATTAATCAAGCTAACAAGTCATCTACCTAAATGTAGTCTAAGTTAGAGAAGTCTTCAGTAAAACAATTTTACATATACAAAAGAAAGCAGAAATGACATTTATGCTGTGTTTGGTTTGGTAGGAATTTAGAGAAAGAGAACGTTAAGGAAAAGTTCTTGAGGTACCTCACAAAAAATCCTTGTGAACTTTCCTTCAACTTTCAGCTTCTCCCTTATTTTATATCAAACCAAACACAGCCTTAAGATCGTAGACCAATTTAACAGAAGTTTATCTTTTCCATGAGATCCTACCTTCCCCCACTTTGAGTAAACGCAAGTTGATTAAAGCTAAGAAAGAGCAAGTTGATTAAAACAATGAATGCAATATTGACAAGTTGTATAGGTGTGAATCGTCTGACTTACTGAGATCTTGTTGTTATCCTCAATGAAATATTCCATTCCACTTGTCCCTTCAGATACCCAGTGGACCATAAAACCTTACTTGAACTAAGTAGAGCTATTAATATTGTATCTTTCAATCATGTGTTAAGGGATAGTTATAGTTTTTTCTTCACCAACTAAATATGAAACAAACAAGTTGCTGAATGAAAACAATTACTTAAGCTTGTCCGTAACAAAGGATTCATAGAGAAATGCTATATATATATATATATATATATAACAGCAAATCAACCCAGACAGACAGTCAAAACTCTAAACGAGAAACCCTAAATCCCAATTTACATGATAATATGATCCCAACAGATAAATGACTACAATGGGATACTAACACCTTGAGCTATCGGAGGTCGACAGCCTTGTGATTACAACCATTTCCTTGTGTAGAAAAGATAAATCAACAGGAATATACGGAGAGTTAGGTCATCAGATAAAAGGGAACATACCCTACATTTTGAAGCTCAACGGCTTTGCTCAAATAAGTTGAATCCATCAGTGAAGGATGTAAGAGGTAACTTCTTGATGAGGTTAACTTGGTTTACCCAGGAAAAGAAAAGGAAGGACGAGGATGAACTGAGACTCATCTTTTCAAAGAAGTATGCAAAGAATCCCTTAATGGATAATTGCAGGAGTAGAAAGGTTTTATGAAGCTAGAAATGAATCAATTATCACTATAATGACTGGTGAGAAGCACGTCTCTAAATATCTCAAGCACATTGACATAATTTCATCTTCATACTCTCATGGGGGATATTCCCAACTCCCAAGCAACCCTAGAAACAATGAAAGCAAATGCAAGTGTAAACGCAAAATTGAGGGTCATTGGATAACTTTTGAGTGTTAACCAAGATGAGGTGAAAAAAACAGGTGCACCAAATGTGTTTGCGTGTGTATTGGGTTGTTTGTGTGTGTGAATAAGGGTTTTTCTCTGTGCAAATGAGAGTCTAGAGAGAGAGAACTTTTTTCCAAGGGGACCAATAGGCGAGATGTCTCTCCAGGTTGGTCCACCTACACCAGTGATGGACTGATGGGTGAAAGAGTTAAAGCAACCCATCCATGGCAGTGATTAAATGACTAGTTCTTACTTCTCACCATTATTTGCATTCAAAGTTTCCGGGGGAGAGAGTAGCAAGTTTCAAAGATCTACTCCTTCACAGCCCATAAGGCCATAAACTAATCCAAATCATATTTAATATCCTCTTATCAAGGCACAAAATAGCCACTGGACTTCACCAAACTGTTGTGTTTTTATCAAGAAACAAAAACAGCACCACCACCACCACCATCAAGAACAACAAACATTTACACTCCAAAGAAACATCACACAGACAACAGAAGAAATAGAAACACTAACCAATAAGCGATTTTCCCTTGCCTCTTCTCTTCTGTGCACTTTATGATGCTCGAACATTGATTTCTAATCATGTTCAAGTCCCATTTCAATCTCCCATCGCCAACATCATCATCATCCCATCTTTGAACAAGCTCACGAAATCAGTATCTTTGTCTGATGATAGCTCCTTGGTTTGATAAAATTATCAGAAAGAAAACTGAACCAGCAACAGCCGAGAGTGAGAGCGGGAGAGAGAGAGAGAACCCAGATAATTCACCTCTGGTTTCGCATCCAATGTGGTACAATAAATTTTCTTGTGTAGTCGCTTATTGCCGATGCAGCATCATCAAGATTCTCAGTTCAGAACTCGGGCAGAGATTATTACTTAACCGCCATGTATTTACATGTGAATCTTGATGATGCTACATCCGCAAACAACGACTGTCAATCAATCCATGCACGATATACTGATTAGACTTGAAGATATATAAAAATCAATATAAAACCCAAATCAGAGAAAAAGCAGGTAAAAAATACAAGGAGGGAAAGAGGGGGATTGAAAAACAGAGAGAGAGAGAGAGAGGGAGAGAGAGGAGTTGGAGAGCTAAGAGAGGTCTGGGTAGTAGGTAGTAGTAGAAACGAAGATTCATGCACCGTCTTCAGATTGATGACCACGAGAATGTGCCAACGTGGCGTGTTACTAGTGGTTTGAACGTAGAACGATGACATGATGGCCGCATAAGAATCTGCAGTTCTGATTACAACACACAAACCTGAAACCCCACCTCCCCTAAGAACTAAAAACAAAAAACCCGTTTTGTTTTTCTCTTAATTACCTTCCCCAAATGAAAAAAGAAAAAAAAAAAGCAGACAGACAACACGCAACAATCCATCACAGTTTGTCTCCGTAATTCGCAGTTTTGGATTTGATGGTCAGACTCCTCCGATCAGATTCCGGCCGAAAGCCAACAACCCATTTAAACCCACCTCAGATTCCGGCGATCAGCCTCATCTGCCGCGGATGGATGAGCTGAAATCACCAGAGAGTAAAAGAACAGCCCAGCAATAATAAAAGCTTGCAAGTACTACGATGACAAAAAACACTGGGAAAACAAAGAAACAGAAGGAAAAGACAACCGGATCCCGGCAAAAAGTCCGCTTGAATCTAAATTCCCGGCCTAGATCGGACACGTGTTCACCCAAATCGCCATTCGTTAAAGAGAGACAGACATGAAAGGAGGAGAGCACTGTGAGAGAGATAGAGAGAAGGAGAGAGGAGAGAAAGCGAGAGACAGGAAGGCAGAAGGAGAGAGGTCAGATACACAATCACTCACGGAGAGTGTCAAGCGTGGGAGGGAGTCTGTATTGGAGAAATATATATACACATAGCTGAGAGCTGACGCGAATTTTTGGGGTTTTTTTTTCCCTTTTAAATTTTTCTAAAATAAAAACAAAAAAAAAATCGAGAATTTTATTTTGTTAATATTTATTTTAAAGGGTGAGATGCTTAGCTTAGCTTAGCTGTACAGTACTGTACCATATCCATATGGCCTCAGTAACACATCGCCATCTCCCAAAACCCTAGTTTTCTTCTTTAGCTTCGGGGCTCGGGCTGTTGCCTGCCCGCACGGGTTAGCTGCTTGGGACTTTCTCCTTTTATAAGCCTCGAGGTTGGCGCTCTGGTGCTTCTTTGTACTCTCTTGCCTCCCTTTTTTTTGCTGTATCCTGGACCACCGTAGACACCAGCCTACACCGTTGGATTCGTGGACCGAAACCGAAGGATCGCAGATTCCGCGTTTTGACCCGAAATCTACCGTGCCGTGGCCCACCGGTCCATACTGGCCACTGGTCAGGATTCCCCGTCCTGTTCCCTTGTGTAAAGTGTAGGGAAACCGAGGGCTAACGTGGAAAATACTATTTTTGGTATCACGGAATTGTCAGGGGAAAAAAATAATTTCCGGAAAATGAGTTTTTGGTGTGATTTTTCATTTTTTCCAGAGTCATTTTCTCAAGAGGGGTGATTATCATTTTCCGCAAGTCATTTTCTAGAGTGAGACTCGAGGGGCCCACCTCAAATATCATTACACCCGCATATGTCTCGATCATCTAGGTTAGTTTTTTCAAAAGTTGTTAGAAGCAAACGCCGGAGAATAAGAAAATTATGATTTATTTTACTGTGTCATCATTTTACGGGGAAAATAATTGTTTTCTGAGGCCGGACCAATTAGCGATTTCTGGTCAGATTCAGTCGTTAGGTTTGGCAGTTTCACAATGATGCAGGCATGGTGACATCATAAATAAATTAGCAGTTTATAAAAGTACGAAATAATTGAAATATAGAAAATTGGGAAAATGAACAATTTTCATGAAAATTCAACTTAAAACAATCAGACTTCTCGTATTTTTTCTCAACCTTTTTAGAATTTTGTGATTTTTTAAATTTTAAAAGCAAAAATTTAAGTATAAAATTGGGAAAATCTTAGATGCGGGGAAGATATGGTATCGGAACCCCATACATTGCAGAGATCTTTTCTAGTGGTTTTCAAAAATTAAGTAGTGGTTTTGAGAAATTAGCATTTCTTCCAATTTTTGGCAAGTCAATCAATTTCCAATAAAGAGGGTTAATCCTCGCCATGTACTCATATGATGATGACACCCATATATGCCTATGTCACTAAGATTCATTTTCTTAGTTAAGACAACCACAAGGAAAAATTAGGAAAAGACTCATTTCCCCCTATTGATCTACACTTTATCAGTATATTATTCATTTTCCTATGTTTTTTACTTGCAACCAAATGTAGAAACAATGATATGAAAGAAGGAAATTTAATAATTTAATTTGGTTATCTGAACCATTTGAATATTTCAAACTTTTGAACAATAAGTTAGTATTTTGTAGGTAAGCAATACCTATCATGCATTGGGAACATCTCTCATACTTACATAAGTTAGTATTTATGTGCCTGTGAGGCACCCCTGTATGAGGAGCAGATCTGTTCCATCCGATTCATGCATGCGTTTTGTGAGGAGAATGCAACAGCAGATTGGTATATCAACCTTGGCCATGATGAGGGTTCTTCTAATTTCTAATGGGCTTGGATCTGCTACCCACTACCAGTTCCCACATTCCTACCCATGGGATATAACAGCCATGCATTGGGAATATCTCCTTTTTCATTCATATAGGAAAATATTCTCAATACATAATGTGGGAACAAATAGTGGGAAGAAGGTCCAGAGGCCCTTCCAATCTGATAGGGTTAGTTTCTTCCTCCGTTTTGTGTAACTCTTCTATTCTTTTTATCCAAAAACAAATAAAATCAATCAAATTCTTTAATATATACATTGCTTTATCATTAGTCCAGGGTGAATATTCAATCAATTAGGCAATATAATAGGTTGCCCTACATGGCAAAACTATTTATTTTAAGAATGAATCCACCCTTAAGCCTTAGGGCTTCCAAAAGGAAGTTATTTCAAGAATGGATCAACCCTAAATATGATTGCCCACCAGAAAAAAACTTAGGTTTAAATCAGATACTCGATTCGAAGAATTTACCAACAGGCCTAAGTAGGGTTGTGCCCTTTCAAATTTGAACAAATGCTCAACCCAAATCTGCCCGAGTAGCATCCCTATAGCTATGTTTGGTTTTAAGGAAAAAGTAGGGAAAGGAAGAGAAGGGCAAGGAAACCTGTACAAATTTTGTATAGATTTTCACACTTTTTCTCTACCTTTTCTAAACATAGCCTGGAGATATAAAAAAGAGTAAATACCAAAAATCCCCCCTCTACTATGGGGATTGGGGAATATCTCCACTTTATCATCTAAACTATCAAAAGTTGCAGAAACCCCTAAAATTTGTGCAAGTTATGCAGCACTAATGGCCAAAATGAAATGATCGAATTAACTATGTTTCACATGTGCATCATCAGGGTTATGTTTTCAAACCCAACAAAAGAAAGGAACCTAGGGTCTCTAGAAGAAAAAGCTTCTCACCACCAAAGAGGCAGGAGAAGTAAAGTGAAAAACAAGCCCTTTTTTTCCTTTTGAAATGTCAAATGAATAAGATAAAGGGCAACTACATTTACAAGGAAACTTGGGCATTTTGAAAAAATTAATAGGTTAATTATATGATGTGAATATGACCATTTTCTGTCCATTTTCCTACCAAAAGGCTAATAGAGCAGCTTTTTGGCGTGGATGGTAAAGTGACACACCCATAGTATAGGAGGAAAATTAACAAAAAAGATAAATAAAAACAACCAAATAAGAGAGATTTTATGTTAACAGAGAAAACTCCGAAATAAATAAAAAAATCACAACCAATAGTGATAAAAATATCACTGGCAATAATTGAGAAAAAAACTCAGTTTGGAAGGAGTATAAATGCAAATATGTAGAGTGCAAAACCTTATATTTGTATGATTTTATATGTATTTGCAGTACATATTTGTATTTGTACTCCCTCCAAATGAAGCTTAAGGTACAAATCAAAAGGATGGATGCAAACCACTTATCCTCAGTTAGCAATAATAACAACAACAACAACAATAATAATAATAATAATAATAATAATAATAATAATAATAATAATAATAATAATTAGAAGAAGAAGAAAGAAAGAAGAATTCAACCCCCTCCCCCCCTAACCCCACTGTCACATATGTAGTCTATGTCGAAACTCAGAACCAAGAAAATTTCAACCAATGATGGACCAATGACTGTGATTAGGTTTTGAGCTGTCCCTTTTCTTTGTTGGTTGTGACATTATGATCCACCTCTTGCCCACATCTACTGTTTTATTACCCTTTTTATCGTTAAAATTCAGTCATTACTACAAACTTTTCCACAAGTTTTCCTGTTCCAAGAAATTTTTGGGTTTCACAATTTAATACATTGGGGGAAGATAATTCCTATCTCTCACCAATTATTTTTAGACAATAGGGGCCACAGATTCCCTCTCTGGTTTTGCTCTCGCTCTATTCCTCATCCACGAGATTTCTTATATTTTCACTTAGACAAGATGTGAACGATATATATTAAATCATATTTTCTTTTCTGCAATGCTAAAATCATAGTTATTCATTGTAAAAGGTGAAAATAATAGGGTTCTATTTGGGTGAAAAAAAATTGCCCTAGAAAAGTAAATTATAGGGCACAACTGATGTCCTGATAAGTAAACCTATTTTAACTAGTTAGATCAGGGTTCTGTTTCTAAAGCTACGTTTGGTTTGAAGGAAAAATAGGGAAAGAAAAGGAAAGAAAGGGAAACCTTTACAAATCTTGTATAGGTTTCCCTGCATTTCCCTTCCTTTCCCTACTCTTTCCTTCAAACCAAACATAACGTAAGTGTTAGATTTTAGTTGTCAACTTGTAATGGCCACATAAAATAAAACCATTTTGCTTACTGCCAATCCAGATCTCATACACTTAATGTCTTGTACTAAGGTGTATACTCACCAATGAAATGTCTTCAAAATTCATGGGGTGGTTGGCTAAACTCTACTGAATTTTCATTGGTTAGTGACTTAGTGTACCCCTTGGTACAAGGAGCTAATTAGTTTTTTGATATCCAGACGGCTTTTTGCTGCTTTCATCACTTTCCCGTTCTCAAAGCTGTGTTTGGTTTGATATAAAAATAGAGAGAAACAGAAAATTAGGGAAAGTTCTTCAGAAACTCTATGCTATAGCAGTGACTCAAGAACTTTCCATCAACATTTGAGCATTTGATCAACGAACCAAAACTATCTCCATGAATTTGGATGAATTTTCATTGGTTATTGTACAGCTTTGTATAAAGAGTTAGTGTATGAACCCAGATTTCCTAATCACTTTCTCTACCAGCACATCTTGCCATATAAGATGGTGATGTGTGGCTGCAATTCAAGGCGGGTAGAGTGTGAATAGAGAGTAGTGGGCAGGAAATCCCATTTGATGAGATCCAGCCTGGTTTTTTGCTGTTCCTATTTCTCTCCTCCCATTCTTAAAACTGTGTTTGGTTTGATAGAAAATAAGAGAGAAATAGAATGTTAAGGCTTCAATTAAAAAGAGTGCAAATATTTGTATTAACAGTCTTCCCAAACAGAGCCTAAGCAAACTTTCTTAGGAAGCTTTGTACAAGTGCCTTATGAATTTCCTATCAACCTTCTATTCCTCTCTTATTTTCTATGAAACCAGAACATAAGTAAACTCGAGATAGTTAAACACACTTGTTTGATCATTATGGTGGGAATCACGTTTGAAGGACAAATAAACATGCCATGTGCAATGTACAAGGGATGGTTTAGTCATAACAGATTAACAGTGGGTTCATATTTGGAAAGTAGTCTTGATATTAAGTAA